GTCCTGGGATCAAGCCTCATATTGGGCTCCCTGTTCAGTGGGGAGCCTGCTTCTCCCTCTGCCTCCTGCTCCCCTGCTTGTGTTCTCTCTGCCGAATATATAAATAAAAATCTTAAAAAAATAAGGATTTTTATTTCTATTTTATTAATTTAACAAAATTATCAGAAACAGCATGCTCCCACTGAGATAGTCCTATGTTCCGTCTCCCTAACACCCGGGAAGGCTCACAGCCCAGGCCTTGCACCGGGTAGCAGGCTCGGGGTAAAGAGGGCCATCCCCTCACACGAGGATCTGCCCTCCACTGAAGCTCGAGGTTCATCCACAGCAAGACATACGCCCTCGTTACAGAGCCCACGGCTCAGGACTCCACGGTGGGAAGCAGGTAGTAAGTTAAAGGTATCCTAAAGCGCCTCACTGGTGCCCATGTTGTTAACATCCTAATTTCGTCTGTCTTTGAGGTTTTGATTCTTTGGAGTGCAGTGTCACGTCCTGATGGGAAGCCAGGAATAACAGGACACTCTGTACTGTAAACACCCCACTCCCAAGTCCCTGGTCCCACACGCCAACTCCAGGGAGAGATTGCTACGTGCCTGGGGCTAAATCAAAGACAGCATGGCCTCTTTCTTCCTTCTTGTCGACTTCCAGAAACGGCCTGCAAGGAAAGCCACCCACTCGGGATGCTCTCTATGTGGTGCCATCCACTCGGGAGCTGGACCCTAGGAAAACTCGTTCTGGTAGATTCAGCGGAGAGGCAGCTGTGTTTTCTATCCGGAAAGCCACATCAAGAGGCTCCTGCTGAGGCAGTGGCCGAGACCCTCCGGCCCTCGCCTCTTACAGCTGGGATGGCCCCCGTGTCCCCCACGGGGCTCTGAACGTCCTCACACAGCCTGGGTGAGGGATCAGGGGCGTCAGTATTTGGAGGGGATGCTCTACCTCTGGTCCTGCAGGTGTCGTGGAAACCAGTCTCACAGCCATGTGGCCTTCGTCCTCCCAAATATCAGCGATCTGGGCCAGCTCATTTGTCTCGTGCTTCGACAGAGGAGACCCCAAGCTGCGCTGCTCCTACAGGGAGGGACCCGGTACCCAAGTCTCGGCCCAGGCCCTCTCCTAGCATCCTCTACGGTGGATTGGCATTTCCACGTCTGGGAAGAAATCCACCAAATACACATTTCTGTTAACTTGTAGACGTTAAAAGAAATATTTTTGTGGTTTGTTTTCAAACTGGTATATTCGGTGAGCTGACTGTTTAGCAAACTGCCCCTTGGCAAATCTGCTGCCGGCGAATCAGGCCCACGCACCGTGTCCACCGGGTGCATATTCAGGGCAGGAAAGTTCTCTCCATTTAGTGAATGTGTTTCTTGGGTTTCCACTTCTTTCCCCCATTAACTTGGTTCTATCACTGACTGTGGAAGCTTCCTCCAGCTGAGCTGTGCGCTCGGTCTCCCTTTTGGAGGGTGGCAAAGACATGAGAAACCCGTCTGAGCGATTCCCGAGCCGCTGGGTTTGTCACGGCCACTGGGTGACCACTTTCTCCTCTCGGCCCATGACTGCTTCACGGATCAGGGAACCTGGGGGTGCTGGCATTTTAGCCAACTGCTCTGTAGAATCACCGCTGGTGTCAAGAACCCAGGGTCTTCATTTTCATGCTGGGTTTAGCTGCCCCTTCTAAGCAGAGCTGCCCATCTGGGCAGAACCTGGACCCACGCGTTCGGGCCTCACGGTGCTCATCACGCCCACCCTCGTGCTCGGGAGCACATGTCTGGGTCCCGTGGCTGCCCTTGGGGTGGCTGGGGGTGACGGGGGAAAAGGTCCCTCACGGTCAGAGGCAGCTTTCCTTTCTGTTCCGTATCTAACTAGCAGCATAGTTACCGAGAGACAAAACTGTCAGATATGATAAGAAATGCAAAAACCCTTCCCTTCCTCCTCCCTCCCACAGTGACTCGTCACTTCCTGAGCCACCTGCTCCACGCATGTTTGCACAGCAACAACCAGCCCCGGTTATGCCATTTGGGCTTCGCTGCTCTTGACCTAACGCTCCCAGGACACAGGCTCTCCACACCGCGGCCTCTCTGCACGCTCGCGTTCCCAGGGCCGTGCGACCCTCCACTGCGTCAACATTCCCCATTCGACCTCCTCCCGTCATTTAATCAGCCCACCCCCGGCCACACGGCAGGCCAAGTACACGGAGCAGAGAGGGCCGATCCCCCCCATCCCACCCCCCCACCGCGTCCCACTTCTGAGCAGACGGCTCCGGGCACTTCTGAATGAGGAAGCCGCCCTGACCGTGACTGGCCCGGGGACCTGGCCCACGGCGTCACGGTCCGCATCCTTGTGGGAGCCTTCCGTTTCCAACAGCGGTGAGAGGTCACCTGGGCCTGTCTCCTCGTGGCAACGGGAATAGGACACTACGGAATGGTGGACATCAGAAGGGACTCGCCTTCACGCAAGAAACACAGGCATTTCTGGGACACCCACTCCGGCTGGCTGCTGAGACAGAGGAGCGGCCCAGCTCAAGGGTCTCTGGGAAGGAGGCTGCCTCTTGGTACCTGGCCCAGGTGGTCCTCCCTCTGCTCCTTGGAGAGCTGGGCTCCCCTCCTTCCCATTTATCTGTGTTTCTATAGACTGAAAATAAGTCGACAACAGCTGGGCTGCCCAGAGGCAGGGCTGGGTCCATCCCTGGGGAAGAAGGTGCCGTCAGGAGGGAAGGCTGCGCTGGCTTTGCTGGTGCGAGCATCGCGGCCCTGGGTAGAGCCCGGCGGCCGGGCAGGGAGCTGCTCTGGGTCACAGAGCGAGAGGACGCTGGAGTGTTCACAGGAGGAAGGGAAGAGAGGGAGGGGCCCTCAGAATGGGGAGAAGTGAGGTCAACAGAGGCAGGGAGAGAAGGGGCGGAGGGCCCGGTGGCAGCTCGGGCACCTGCGCGGTACTCGGAAGTCAGGTCAGGTCAAGGCCTGCCGTGGGCTCCAGTCTGAGGTCTCGTGTGGGTGTGTTAGGGGCTGGCGGTCCCCGGAGGCCAGCACGGAGGCAGCGGCTTCATGACCAAAGCCCGGGGGTGACCCAGGGGCCCAGGGTGGAATGGGCTGCACCAAGAGGCAGCGGGGACCCTCCGGCGGCACTGACTGGCCCCCCCCCCGCGGGCGCTGCAGGCATCGGGGGGACCCTGCTTGCTTCTCTTAGAGGCTCGGCCATTATGTGGGCTTTGTTCTGTGTTGGGACCCAGAGCTCCCCTCGCCCCTGGTCCTCCTCATCTCCCGGGGAGGGGGGGCCCGTCTTTCTCTCTCTGGACTCCCTCCCTCCTGGGGGGTCTCCTTCTGTCTGGCGACTACATGTCGGGGTCAGTTGAATAATGCTCTCCTTCCCACATGAAAATGGTCTATGGGGCAGCCTGGGTGGCCCAGCGGTTTAGCGCTGCCTTCAGCCCAGGGCGTGATCCCGGAGACCCAGGATCAAGTCCCACATCGGGCTCCCTGCATGGAGTCTGCTTCTCCCTCTGCCTGTGTCTTGGCCTCTCTCTCTCTGTGTCTCTCATGAATAAATAAATAAAAGAAAAAAAAAAGAAAAAAAAAGTCTATGATCCTAATTCCTGGGACCTGTAGAGACGTTACCTCACAGGGCAAAAGGGACTTAGCAGATGTGATCAAGGACCTGGAGGCAGCGAGGTTACCCTGGATTATCTGGGTGGGCCCGATGCCATCACAGGTCCTTGCGAGGGGCAGAGGGAGGAGGAGGAGGCGAGGGGTGGGGGCCGGATGCCAGGCTGACTGCCCTGAGGACAGAGGCAGGGCCAGGTGCCCGGGAGGCTGGGAGAGGCAAGGAAACAGGCTCCTCTCTGGAGCTTCTAGAAGGAACGCAGGCCTGCTGACACCTTGATCTTAAGGCGTCTGACCTCCAGAACCCTGAGAAACGTATGCCCTGTAAGCCACTAAATGTATAGCGTTACAGCAGCCCCAGGAAACGGATATAAAATGTCATCTATTGGTGAAAACTCTCACGGTCCCCGAGCTCCCGGCCAGCTCGCGTGGAGGCCACCGGCCCACCTGACGCCTACCAGGCACCTAACCGCAACGTGTCGGAACCCTTTCCTGGCGTCCCCCAAACCCGCTCCGCCTCATCTTCCGAGAGGGAGGCGGCGACGACCCATCCTCCCGGTGACTCAGGCCACGACCCTGGCCTCGCCCTCGGCACCCGCACATCCAGTCGTGGGCAAACTTGCTGGCTCTGCCCTCGAGGTACGTGTGACCATTCCCCGGGAGCCGTCGGCTTGCAGAGCAGAAGCCGGGTCTTGGGGTTCCCCGGCTGGACGGCTGCCGGGGCTCAGAAGGCTCAAGCCCCAGAGAGGTCCTCCAGGACCCACCGCCTGGCACCCCGCTCCTCACTAGCTCCTCTCCGCCTCCGCCTGGGGTGCTCTTTCGGCCATTCGCTCGCTGGGCTGCCCTCCTCCTCCGTGATCCTTTGCTCCGGGGTCTCCTCGATAGGCCTCTGGCCCACACGGACACCAAGAAAGGATCATAAAGGAGCTCGGGGCACAGCGAACGTCACAGGTGGGGCCGCGGGTAAATACTGGCGGAGGGTGTTGGCTCGGTCCACGGCCACCCACTCGAGGATGGGTGCCACCCAACACGCGGGAAAGAGAGGCGAAGCCAGCCTTGACGCTGAAATCCCTCCATCCCGACATTCTGGGTGTTTCCCTATTTTATCACCTTCAGCTCGCCAGGTAGCCGAAGCGTCCCTGGACTCAGGAGACCACGGGACCCTGAGCCTGAAGCTGGATCAAGAGGAACTAAAACCATTCAGGGGACACCCGAATGCAGGCTGGAAGGTCAGATCCCCTCGTTTTACTCAGGAGGAAGCCGAGCCCGGAACGCAGGACGTCTCCCAGCGCCCGGCTTCCCATCCAGCGTCCTGCACCTGTGCTTCCTGCTGTCTGCCCCCCCCCCCGAGGGCGCCCCGGTGAGGCCCCTCCTGAGGACGCCGGAGGGACCGGCTCGGCCCTACACACTTACTCCAGTCGTTCCTCTTCTTTCCTTCTCAGGTCAAAGTCCCGCTGAACCACTTCCCAGACGTGCTTGGCCTCTTCGTCCGTGAGCTTGGAAAGATCCAGTTTTTTCCCCATCTCTGCTTGTCAGGATCACACCTGGAATAGGACAGGATCACAGGTGGTCACCCCGAAAGCCCGTGGACAGAGGCTACATCACAAGGCCCCACAAGAGGGGCCACGGGACACGCCGAGTTCCCAGGTACTTTGGCCCCGGACGGAAGGGTTTTCTAGAACAGACAAATTCCTGTCTGGAAACTTGTGTTGTTTAAATGGTGTTAAGGTTTATGTGTGACGTTCCTGCACACTTGGAACTCACACACGTAGCCCCGGGGCCCTTTGTCCCTCCGCTGTGACATAACGTCGGTGACGTCAGTATCTTCCCCCTGCCCCAGGGTCATGTGCTGCAGTGGGGACCCCAGAAACGCTGGGGAAACGCTGCAGAAGGGCTCCATCCCCGGGGCTTCTCGCCTTCCAGCTCCTGGTGGAGGGTGATCCTGTCCTGTTTCCAGGCAACCTCCCCTCAGATTCATGGTCAAGCTGTGGAGTCACCGTGCACGCCCTGGCCCCGAGAGGTCGCCCCAGTCCGATGTCTTGAGGTCACTGTGTCTGCGGGGGGGGGGGGGGGCCTGCACGTACTTCCCAGGGTGGGGCCCACCTGCCGGCAGAGGAGTGGGGACCAGGCCCGTGGACAACATGGTCAGCGGGAGCGGGTGTACCCGAGGGGGGTCGGCCGTGGGGCTCGAGCCTGGGTGCACGTTAGGTTCACCGCCAGCGCTGGCCTCCGAGACCCTGACTTCACTCAGCTGCTTAACGGAGTAGCACTGGGCGCTTGCCTCGCATGGGGCGCCGGGGTGGCTCAGTCGGTGAGGCTCAGGTCATGATCCCGGGGTCCTGGGATCGAGTCCCGTGTCCAGCTCCTTGCTCAGCGGGGAGTCTGTGTCTCCCTCTGCCTTTGCCCCTCCCCCTGCTTGTCCCCCCCCCCCGCCCGCCGCCGTCTTTCTCAAATACAAAAATTAAGCCTTAAAAAAAACCAAACCCCCAAACCGAACAGTGTGCCTCGAGGACCAGCAGCATTTCTGGGGAGCTTGCTAGAAATGCAGACTTCTCAGGCCCCGCCCCAGACCTCCTGATTCAGAATTCATATTTTAAGGAGATTCCCAGGTGGCCGTGCTCACACTGGAGGTGGCCGGTGTCGCTGGTCCCGGGACCCCTCTGAGCGGCAAAGCTCTAGCGAAGCAGGACAGGGACAGTGAAGGGGTTGGCTGAGCGAGAATGAGGACGGACATGGGCCCCCCTGCTGGTTCTTCCCGCAGAGGAGTCATTCGGGCCTCACGGATGCTGACGCTGCTGTGACACTGGGTACAAAGTTGAGGCATTACCACACCAGGGAGGACTTCACTGGGGATTCGAGCACACGGGGTCGGGATGCTGCCCAGAGGGGCCCACCCTGCTCAGCCCCCCACCCCCTTCATGCTCATCCTTGGAGCATTTCTTTGCACGTTCTAGTGTGACGGCTGCTGTCCCTCGTCCCTGTCCAGCTCCACGAGGACGGAGACTTTGTCATTTCCCTGGCACACCGCAGGCACCGTTCTGCGCTCCCAGCGCCCCGGCCCGAGGACGAGGCCGCTACACCCACATCAGCTCTTCTCTGCACACCGAGGCTCAGGGGAAAACATGGTTTGGGCGACCCTTGTGCAGTGAGAACCTGTGTGACTTCAACAAGCCTTCACCAAGGACTGTCGCCCGTGTCTTGGGGACATCGGAGAAGGGGGTCCCTTCCAAATGTCTCCTCCCCCTGGGAACCCTTCAGGCCAACCGAAAGACGTGACGACGTGACGTTGCTTCTGAGTTCTGGGGAACCTCCCCCCCCCCCCCCCCCCCGCCCCGTGCCGTTCACATTCGCATGTTCGCCGCGGAGACGTCAACAAAACCTGCTCCGGGCCAGAGACGGACTCTGATGTGTTTCACGAGGGGTTAATCAACGACAAGCGACATTTCCAGGGCAGCGTCCAGACACCGCCTAACACGAGCGCTTTCTCAGAGTTCCCAACTAAAATGTCCCCTGACCTCTGCCTTAAATTGGTGAAGAGCAATTTCTTAATATTTTTTGCACCAAACCCTCAGGGGTTCCCCCTTCGGGCACGACGCTGACCGTGAATGACACATTCAGGAGTTGCCTTGCTGTGCCAGTCATTCAAACTATTTTCACGGATAGTTTAGATTTTGGACACGAAAGCGTTAAAACAAAATTCACTGTTGCCGTTCTCCTGGGATATGCAATTTCTGGTTTTTGAAGCATTGGGGGGAAAGTTCTTTTGTGATGGATGACTGGGGTTTATTCATTTCTTTAAACCACTTTTGGAAAAAAAAATTGTATCCTAAGAAGCACGTTCATTGAAGTTCTATTTTCAGAGCAGATGAGAGAGCCGTGACCATCAGCTGACTCGTTGCCACGTCTCCTCTCCAAAGGGACGTCATTCCAGGCTTCCTTTAGGAAACTTAGATGGTGGGGCGCCTGGGTGGCTCAGCAGGTTACGTGTCTGCCTTTGTCTCAGGTCTTGGTCCCGGGGCCCGGGATCGAGTGCCGCATCGGGCTCCCTGCTCTGCGGGGAGCCTGCCTCTCCTCTGCCCCTCCCCACTGCTCGTGCACATGTGCTCTCTCTGCTGCTCTTTCTCCCAAACAAATGAATAAAATCTTAAAAAAAAAAAAGATAGTAAAGAATGAGGGAGAAATGCAAAACAAAAGGAAACCAGTATACTCTTCTTACCCTGCAAGCCCACCTGTCTTAGAGCACGCCCCGTGAGTGGCCAGTAAGCGGATGGATGGGAAGGCGGCTAACCAGTCAGAGCTGCCTCCCTCGCCCCCCAATCCCCGAGATCTGAGGACATGTCTCCCCCCTCCCCTTCTCAGACTGTTCCTTTTCTTGGAAGCTTCTTGCTCGTAAGGATGGCCCCTTGGTTTCCCAACTCCGACAGCAAAGACCACCAAGGCCCCAGGGACCAGATGCATGCTGGACCCATAGGGTCTGGGCACCTCTGGGGAGGGGGTGCCTGCCAGGAGGGTGTGAGCCCCTCAGAAACATGCTGAGATGTGAACAGGGGAGGCCAGCAGGCCGAGGGCGGCAGGCGGCCGCACCTGCCCCCTGCAGAAACCGTGGCATGGCGGCTTAGCACCCTCTTGGGAGTTCCGGTCGTGAGCCCGAGTTATTAAGGGAAGCGACATCTGTTCACTGTGCTGTTTCACGAAGCCAGAGCTGATGGGATCTGGATGGTTAACGGGCATCTGACACCGCCAAGCCGAGAACCAAGAACTGCATGTGTCACACATGGTTCCACGTCGCCTGAGACGTTTTACTCTTGTGCTTATGTTTAGCTTCAACGCAACCTCCAGGGGAGCTGGGAGGGGGGTGCAGGGAGGGAAGGGAAGGAGGAGGGATTCCAAGGTCCAGATTCGCCCGGCTGTGCTGCGCCGCAGTGCCGGGAGGTGGGGGTGGGGGTGTCGGTGAGGGTCCCTAGGGCAGCGTGTCACAGCACAGCCAGGAATTGGGAGCCAATACCCGGGGATCCCTGTCTTTATCTACTGTGACCGAATCTTCCCACTTAGGAATTAATGATTTTAGTGCTTTTTGAAAACTGTCTTTAAAAAGTGATCTCAAATTGAATGGAGACTATATTAGACTTCAGCATTTACAAGGCACATACCACACGGGCACCTGGGGCAGGCATCGCTAGCAGCCCCTCTGGGTGGCCTCAGGCTGGTGCGCTGATGCAGGCGGCCCCACCTGGGGACCTCTGGGGGCTCGTGGAGGCGACAGCCCTTCAGCCAATTTTCCCGTCTCCCATCACTACACACTGGACTTGCTCCCTGAGACCCCGAGCTCCCCCTGGATCCCCTCCACCCACAACAGTCACAGGGGGGCATGAGGACAGGGCATCTGCTGACCCCATCCAGGAGCAGGGCTGCTTCTGCCCCTGCCCGCCCCAGCCCCCCGGGGAACCTCCCAGGGCGACTGTGCTCACGCGTCTGTGTCTGTCTGTCTGTGTGGGAGGAGGGCCGACTCCACTAGGCTCCTAGTCATGAGGTTCCTGCGTGAAACACTTTCAATTTTGCCTGTTCCGCTGCTCAGATTTAATCACATTTTTAATCCCCGAGACTGTTAGCCCTCCCTAATTGTGTCAGGGTCGTAACGGAGAAAAGCAAGGGTGGGCGCGGGGGTTCATGAGTTGGGAAGACAGTGGAACGGGACGGGTCTCGTAAAATGGAAAACCCCAGGCGCAGACGGCTGAATTCCGCTGGTGCGTCTTTATCTGTTAGAGACCCGAGGTCATGTTTGGGCCCAGTTAAAGGGAAGCCTGGGCGGGGCAGGCTTCTCATCCGTGACACGTGGCTCGATCACCTCCTGGGTCAGCTGCCCTCTGAGCCTGGGAGCCAGGGTGATTAGGAGTGGGCACCCGCCTGGGCAAATAGAACTGGGAAGCCAGTCGGAGTTTCCCCTCAATGCCCAGCTCCCAAAGGAGGCAGGAAGGCTCTCTGTCCCCGTCAAGCAGGAGGTGGTCTTGCTGATAAAGGTTCAGGCACATTCCTGTGCGATGGTGGACGTGCCAGGCGAGGGGCCGGCTGCTTCTCAAACAGCCCGCTCTGAGCTGGCCGGTGCGGTTACTTCTGCGGGCGGGCCTGGCCGCCCGATAGGAGCAACCAAAACCCCAGCCCTGGCCAGCTGTGCACTGAGCGCATTTCCACCCAGAAGCTTCCGCCAACCCCGGCTCAAAGCACACCAGGCACACCTGTTGCTCCAGCAGCAACCGCACTGGGGGCGGGGGGTCACTCTGTAGCCTGCCCGCCCACCTGCCCTTTCTCTCTGCTCCCTCAGGTCTCTGGGCAGTTGCTGGTGATCCTCACTGACACACGGACACAAGCTCTGCATGTGCAGCCAAGGCCTCAGCTCAACGTCCACAGCAAGAATGGGTCCCCGGCTGGGGCTGCGGGACGGTGACAGGGCCAAGAGTCTGGAGCTGGCTTCCCATCCCGGCTCAAGCACCAGCTGGCTCTGTCACCCAGGACAGGGTCACCGTCTCTCTGGGTCTCAGCTTTTCCATCTGTGTCATGGACAGGGTTGGGCTCCATGAGCTCTCTAGCGCTCTCCAGCCATGCACAATGCCAGGATGTTAAAGGGGAGGCTCTAGGGTGGGGTGGAGGGGCAGAGCTCTTCCTCCAGAGGTTGCTTCCTCTTTTTTTTTTCCTAAAGATTTTATTTATTTATTCATGAGACACACAGAGAGAGGCAGAGACACAGGCAGAGGGAGAAGCAGGCTCCCTATGGGGAGCCCGATACGGGACTCGATCCCGGGACCCAGGGGTCACACCCTGAGCTGAAGGCAGACACTTAACTGACTGAACCACCCCGGTGGCCCCAGAACTTGCTTCTGAAACGAACAAGACAGTCATCCCAGAAGGCTGACCCAGCCACGTGAGGTGGTGCACACACAGGCACGCACCATGCTGTCATCCAAGGACACCAGAGTCACCTTTCCCATTAGCTTTCAGGGCTCTGAGACCTGTTTACCATCCCAAGCCCCCCACCAGACCTACTCCGCTGGTTTTAACTTTTTAGTTTCTAATCCCCTAATCAGTAAGACCCCCTGACTTCTCATCTGTGTGCCCAGAACTGTCTCCAGGGCGCCTACCACTGTGCCCATTTTTCAGATGGGGGAGAGCACAGGAACCTAGAATTGGTGCTTGGATTCTAAGACATGAGGTCCTGGAGATTTGGTGTGTGTGGGGCTCTCGCCCAGGAAAGTCATGGCCTTGCTAAGCTCGGCTGTGTGGCCCAACAATGAGGGGGAGACACGGTCGTCCAGGAAAGAGGTGAATGAGCTGGACCCAAATGCCAGTGTCACTGCTCAGGTGCCCACGATCTCCAAGCCCTTGCCCTTTCTGTGGACTTCACAGCCACAGCCAGGGCCTGCCTTTGCACATAATGGGCTTCTGGGGGCCTCGCCTCCCCCATTACCATTCTAACCTCTCAGAAGGAACTATGTAAAGATTAAAAAAAAAAAAACCTACCACATAAAAAAAGAAAATGTAAAAGCCCCAACCCAGCTGAAAATGGCATTTTCAATATTTGATTAAGGTTGGTTGGAAACAGGTGTCTAAGCCTAAGGTACTTTAGAGGATTTATAAGTGGGGTTTAGCTCAGGCCAGGACCTGGGAGCAGCGCCCACTCTGCGACGCCCATCACCCACCAATCCGTCCCACATCCTTAGAACTAGGTGGACGGGCGGCGGGGAGTGCTGTTGGTAAACAAAAGATGCTTCTAATAATGCTGGGACTTTAGGGGCCCAGAGGAAGGCCAGGACCCTCCTCCCACCGCAAAACACCAGCCCAGCTCTGTCCCCCCAAATCGGCACCGCAGCGCAGGTGAAGACTTTCATCAGATGGCCTTGGGCCCAGCGGGTCTAGCTCTGTGTCTGCTGGGTTGGCCCAAGCCGGCCCAGTCCACACTGGGACCTACCTGCAGCTGGCTCTGAGCGAAATCACTGTTTTGCCTAAAATGAGCTCCCTGAGAACCCAGGCCAGGCTGACCCGGGGTAGCCCTGAGGCCTGTGTTTGGGGGAAAGGGAGCGCCCTCTGCACCAGCCTGGACCACGGCCTGGGAGCCTCTGGGGGCATTTGCACACGGGGAGGAGGGGGGAGCTGCACCCATCACCGTGGACCCTCCCTATGCCTGGGTGCCCAGTCCCAGGGCGTCCCCCTGGCCTCCCCATTCCCTGCTCTGGCTGCACTCACCGGTTCCTTTCCCGGCGGGCAGGCCCTGGCCCTGCCCCTGGGGCTGCTGTCTCCGGTCCTACAGGGGAAGGAAGGCGACCAGGCGGGGCGTCGGTCCGGGCGCACTGGGGCGACGCAGGATGGCCGGGGCCAGGCTGGGCGCGGGGCGCGGGGCACCCGGCACCTGACCTGGGGGGGTGGCGCGGGGCGCGGGCGGGCGAGGTCACATGGGCCGAGCCTGCCCCGCCCAGCTCCGGGCGCGCCTCCGGGTGCCGCGCAGGTGGCAGCGCAGGTGCGGGGGGCGGGGGGGGAGGGGATGCTCCGGGGTCGGCGCCCCAGGAGGCTCGGGAGGAAGGTGGGGAGGGCAGGGCTTGAGGCCACTCGCGGGCGTGCCGGGTGCCGTGGCTGCCGAGCCTCCGCCCCCAGCCAGGGCCCCGCCGGCCTGACCGCGCCCTCGGAGCGCGCGCGCGGCACTGGCTTCTCTTAATTCTTTGGATTCCTACCCAATTCTGCAGGGGAACGCAGTTGACCTCGGCTTTACCGATGGGAAAACCGAGGCTCGGGAAGCCCCCGACTGCTAAGTGGGGGTGCCCAGTGGTAAGTGGGCCTTGGGGCCCCGGGACCGTCCTGCAGGGCGCACGGGCTGCGCTCGGGGCGCGCGGACCCCGCGGGGAGCGCTCGGAGGTTGCGCTTGGGGAGACCCACCCCGCGGCGCCCCCCCCCCCCCCCCCGCACCCTTCCTGCCTGGACTCGGCGCTCAGGGCGCGTCTGACTCCGCAGGTCCCCAGCCCCAGCCCCAGCCCAAGCACCCCCGTGCCTCTTCGGATCTCCCGGGGACCCCTGGGGGACCCCCCTTCCCCTCTCTTCTGGAGTTGGACGCATTGGAGCGCGCTCCCCTCCTCCCTCTTGCTTATCATTAAAAAGTATTGAACCCAAGAGTCCATCGCCCAGCCCCAGGCCCTACCTTTGGGTCTTGCAGGCCCTTGGGCCACCTTAGGTTGGGAGGTCTCCCCCACAGCTACAAAATGGGGAGGGGATGGTTAATCAATGAATAATCGATGCTGTTAGGTGAACACACACTACCCGCTCCGTTTTTGCAGAGCAGGGGACTCAGCCTTAGAGGTTCATTGTGATGTCACATTAGATGATTTGTAAGTTTTTCTTTTCTTTAATTTTTTATTGGCGTTCAATTTTCCAATATAAAGAATAACACCCAGCGCTCATCCCGCCAAGTGCCCCCCTCAGTGCCCGTCACCCAGTCACCCCCACCCCTAGCTCGTTTCCCAGAGTTAGGAGTCTCTCATGTTCCGTCTCCCTTTCTGACATTTCCCACTCATTTTCTCTCCTTTCTCCTTCATTCCCTGTCACTATTTTTTACATTCCCCAAATGAGTGAGCCCGTACAATGCCTGTCCTTCTCCGATCGACTTATTTCGAAAGCCGCGCGATGCTGCTGCAGTTAGAGCATTTGGCGCCCCAAGAAGCCGTGCAAGTGAATTTGGGTATTTCAGGCCCTTGGGCTGCCTTAGGATGGGAGCTCTCACCAAACTCTGCAACTGCAGGTTGTGTGCCTGCCTGTGCTCGTGTGTGCACGCACCAGCGCGTGTGCAAACACTGGATATAGTTGCAGCTTAAAGCTGAGTTTCCACCGGTTGCCATGTTTTTCATTTCCTTACCATGTATTTTACTATTGCTTGTAAAATTAATAAATCTCTTAAAAGCAATAAGACTGTAAGTTCCTTAAGGGCAGAAGTGGTGTTTTTTTTTAATCTTTTTTTTTTAATATATACTTTAGTGGTCACTTAAATGAGTGGGTTTTAAAAAATGTACAGAAGTGACACATGATCATACCTGATAAAAATATATGGTAAAGAATATAAACAGTATGAAATCAAAAGTTAAATTTGTTCTTGTTCCTGCTCCCAACCCCACTCCCCAAAGGCAATCATTGCTAATGGTGTCTTGGGTATTGTTCCGGGATTACCGTGGGTGTGGTTAAGGACTTGGACTCCGCATCCAACTGCAAGAGCCCGACTCCCAGCTGGGTGTATGACGGGCCAGCTGTGTTAACCTGCGCATGTTACTTAACCTCCCCGGGGTTCACTTCTTCTTCTATATTGTGGGGATAGCAATAAGATCTACATAATGGGTTGTTCTGAATCCATAAACACAAAGCTCTTGGATGAGCCCTGCCACGTGGTATTCGGTAAATGCTAGTTGCTCTTGGTACAGACCCAATTCATTCTTCTAAATGGTTGCATGAGTTTATTGTAATTATTTTACAGTCTCCCATCGATGGACAGTTAACTTGTGATTTTTTTGCTACTTAAAAAATGTCTGTCCTATAGGTATTGTAGGGAATACATGGTATTGTTGACACGTATATTTATAATGTTACAAAAAGATTACTGTACGTGCATATAGACTTATGCCCATATGTTTATAGAATGAAATCCTGATATTGAATTGCTGAGTCAAAGAATGTATGCAATTTCTACGAGGAAATTCTAGAATTAAAAAATTTTTAACTGGGGGATCCCTGAGTGGCTCAGCGGTTTAGTGCCTGCCTTGGGCTCAGGGTGTGGTCCTGGAGACCCTGGATCAAGTCCCACATCAGACTCCTTGCAGAGAGCCTGCTTCTCCCTCTGCCTGTGTCTCTGCCTCTCTCTCTCTCAATCTGTGTCTCGAATAAATAAATAAAATCTTTAAAAAAATTTTTAATTGTTGTAGCACTGAAAATTACAGAAATTTGCGTGCATGACACAAATATCTGCTGCTCTCTTCCATTTGTAAGTTGCTGACATGATTTTTCTCTAGTGTGTATTTTATACAAACGCGGGCAGTTTTCCAAAAAACTGCTTTACCATCAAAATCGTGATACGTGGCTGTCTCTAATCACAAGAACCGTTGCAAATTTTGCCAGTCGTCTCCATGATATCTTTTATTGCAAAGGGTCCCATTGAGAGTATCTTAATTTCCTACATTAGCTATTTCGGGGGAGCTAGGAGGGGACAGGGAGGAGAGGGGGGAGACGTTAGCTGTAGCGCTTGGTGGCTCCGGGCCAGGATCGGTGGAGCTGGTTGTTTCCCCTCAGCCTGACATTCCTGCCTCTCCTGGGCCTCACCTTTGGGATTCTGGCTACCTCGTCCGCTCCCCAGCTTCTGAGGGCTCCCTGTGTCCCCTTGGTGGTACCCTCTGGCTCGCTGACAGTTCCCCCTGCCCCTTGTTCCCTTGCTCAGGGCCTGGATTGCTCTTTCTCAACACTTTGCGGTTCCATCTTGTCTCTTGATTGGTTGATGGAAGAGCCGTCAACATACAGTGTTACATTAGTTTCAGGTGTGCAACATGGTGATTCGACAACTCTGTACGTTAAGCTACACTCACCACCAAGTATAGTTGCCGCCTGTCCCCGTACAACCTTATTACAATACCGTATAGTCCCCACGCTGTCCTCTTCATCCCATGACTTATTTAGTTTATAACTGCAGGTGTGTACCTCTTAATCCCCTTCACCTGTTTGCCCATCTCCCTGTCCCCTCCCCTCTGGCATCAACGTGTTTGTTCTCTGTATTTATGAGTCTCTTTCTGTTTGTTTTGTGCTTTAGAGTCCACACAGAGGTGAAATCATACGGTGTTTGTCTGACTTATTTCTCTTAGCATAATACCCTGTAGGTCCACCCATGTTGTTACACATAGTAAATTCTCATTGTTTCATGAATGAGTAATATTCCATTGTGTGTGTGTATTTTTACACACACACACACATATATGTATACCACATTTTTTAATTCATTCATCTATTCATGGACACTTAGGCTGCTTCCGCATCTTGGCCATGGTTAACAGTGCTGCAGTAAACGTAGCGGTGCGTACATCTTTTTGATTTAGTGTTTTCTGTCTCTTACTGGTGAGGAGCTGATGCCCAGAGAAGAGGTGGAGTACACCCGGGGTCACACAGTGGGTTAGAGACCTCCTACCTCTCTAGCGAGTTCTCACTAAGCCATCCTGGACTCTCCTGAAAGCTGGTAGATGGGTGGACGCCAGAGGGCAGTCGAGGGCTCCTCCCCTCCTCGTCTTCCTAGTGCCTGTCTGGAGACCTTGCCTTTGCTGGGATTTAGGGGGAGATGGGACAAGGAGGGAAAGAGCCTTGTCTCCACCACTCCAGCAGGAAGCTCAGCATGGAAGATGGCCTTCAGAGGGGGATCCTTGGTCTTCACGGTTTGGGAGGCCCCCATCTCCAGGGCTCGCTATGCAGGCTGCTTTCACTGACTGGTGGGCTTGGACTTAGCCTCATCTCTGCTTGTAGGTGGGGGCCGCAGGGGGAAAGGAGGCCCCTGGCCCACCAGGGAGTGTCCTACAATATCTGTGAGATGGGCCGGTCCAGGATTTGCGCAGAAAGGCCTGCTGTCCCCGAGCCACGGGCCCCTCCTGGGTCCTCTAGCTCACTGCAGGCAGCTGTTCCAATCCATACCTCCTTCTCCCCTAAATCCTCTGGGCCACTTTGGCATTGGGCCGACAGAGGAATCTGGGTTTCTGAGATGAATGTACAGGATATTGAATACATGCAAAATACTGCCCCGAGCCCCAGCTATGCCCGGTAAACTACCTGTACCTTACAAGAAAATTATGTTTTCATCAGATACTGAATGACCTTTTTTTTTTTCTTTTATGGATCTGGAAAGTTGGGAAAAATCCCATTTTTGGAAGCATTCTTCTGGTTCTGTGGTTGTGGGGCCAGGCAGGGAATCACAGGGCCTTTGAGGAGGTGTCACCTGACGCTGCTTCAGCCAGCTCTGCAGTGCACGGGGCCCTGTGACTGTCCCCCACACATTGGGGGACACGCACTGACCCTGAGCTGTGTTTCCCCTGGGGTCGGGACCACAGCGAAGCACCTGTCTGCTGTCTCCCAAGCACCCCACCCTCCCCCTTGCTCTCTGAGGTCCAGCCTTGTCGATGGCATCCCCCCGCCCCCGCCACTCCTCTGGTCCTCCTTCCTTTTCAGTTCTTAGTTCAACAGTCCAGAGAGAGCATCTTCTGAGCGGCCAGCCCTCCCCGCCATCGGATTCTGTTATTCCGTGCACGTTCCTGCAGGGCCCCTCCCACAGTGTACCTGCCATGTGTGTGGTGACCTGGTTCTCGTCTTTGCTCCGCTGCTCGGAGCTCTGGGAGCCCTGGGACCGTGCTGTTCACCCTGACGTGTCTGCTGCCTTACATGGCGCTTGGTACATAGTAGGCCTTAGATAACTGTTGAATAAACAG